AAACTTAACATTTAACAAATCTGGTTAATATTTGGTTAAAATTAATATTTTGGTTAAATTAATATTTTTTTACTGTGTATATGCATATACCAAAATACTATTTAAAATCATACATCTTTTAATAAAACCTCCTCTCTAAAAATGAATTAGGCAAAAATGACTAATTACTACAGTTATTAGTGACCATGGTTAACCATGGAATACCATGGTACCCCAACATTTAACAGCTAATTCTTATGTAAAATGGTCCCCTGAATCCGGAAATTCCATATTTTATGGAAAATTGACTATATCTCAAAAACTGTTCTATTTTTCTAACTTTGGACGACATTTTTAGATTTAGGGGACAATTTTACATGGAAATTGACTGCTAAATGTTCGGGATATAAATTGCTTTTGACGAGAATTATTAGTGGCTGCTTTTTCGCTATGACAATTAGTCATTTTTGACTAATTCATTTTTAGAGAGTACAGTTATTAGTGGCTGCTTTTTCACTTATACCATGTTTGGAATACCATGGTATCCCCAACATTTAAAAGCCAATTCTTATGTGAAATTGTCCCCTGAATTTGAAAATACCGTCAAAAATTATAAAAGTAGTGCAGTTTTTGAGTTATAGTCAATTCCATATTATATGGAAAATTGACTATATCTTAAAAACTGTTCTACTTTTTTAACTTTTGACTACATTTTCGGATTAAGGCGACAATTTTACATGGAAATTGACTGTTAAATGTTTGGGATACAATTTGCTATTGACGAGAATTATTAGTGGCTGCTTTTTCGCTACGACAATTAGTCATTTTTGACTAATTCATGTTTAGAGAGTCACTTATTTCTATATTTATAATTACTTTTGTTACAGCAATGATTACTGCCAGTATAATAATTATGATAGTATATTGGACTGGTTTACTGTTCTGCGCACCATTCTGAATTTATCAAATTATAAAAAAAATTGGTACAATATAATTATCAGTACTACTACAACACTTAAGGCCAGTTTATCAATATCTGGTTAAGTTCCAGTTAGTCTATCTATCAGTTTAATTTCATATCAATTGTTGTACCATTGTACTTCGTAACTTTAACTCAATTTACTATTTAGAGTAAATTGAGTTAAAGTTACCAAATACAGTTTGATAACTAGTGATGGCATCTTTTTTCGGATACTTCGCACTTCGCACACTCGTTAAATCGGAATACAAATAATATAATATGTTATTAACACTGGACAGTTGTTACGAACACGTTACGAATTAGAATAAAGTAAGCATGCAGAAACATAAGGTGCATACGCTGAAATAAGTTGAACTTGTTGATGCGTATTGTCAGTGGAAAATGTTTTGATTGACTGCCTGAAACCACGTGTACTTTTTCAACGAAATAGTTTATTTATTATTTATTAAATTAATCTGTAACCTTTAAAATTAACAAAATACATAAAATTGCATATTACCTTTACAAAACTTTCGGTAAAATATTTTCCTTTGTTAAAATAATTACAAACCCTGATTTTCTACAAAATATTGTGTTAAAATTTTACAAAATAAAATTACTTAGCGAACTTTTATAACAGTGTTACTGTTTTCTATTTTCCGTGTAGGAGCGCGAGCATACCCATGTTTAGTCGTGGATTAATCGGCCCCAGTTGGTCTATTTTTTTTAATTATAGAAAATCAGGAGGGCTGCAAAAAGTTTATCTTAATAATTTGCGGTAGAATGCACCGCAAATGTTTTCAATGAAACTATGATTAAAACATGTTTATAAAAACTTTTAACAAAAATACTAATATTAATTATTTTAGACACATTTTATTTATTACCTATACATAATATAATATATTATACTATAAAACATCAAAACAAATTTTTAATTAATTCTTTTCTTCCTCGCTTTCTTCCTCGCTTTCTTCATTTTCTCCGTCCTTTAGTGAAAAATTGCGGTTATATTTATTACCATTGGGAGGCCTTTCATTGGGTCCATGCATAGGTTTGTCATTTTTGGCGCCTTTGGTCATTTTATCCCCCAAATTCATTGGAATTTTGGGGGCCATTTTACCCAGTTTGCCAAATTCTAGTTTTGTGGATTTTTCGCCGTGTTTTTCTTCAGTTTTTTCGGCATTTAGGGCCTGGATTATGTATTTTTAAATTTTGTGGATTTTTTGTGATCAAAATTACTTACCTGGGCTAAAATAATGACTCCCAAAAGAGTTAAAACAATAAAAGTTTTCATATTTGCTAGATGTTTATTGAACACTGTGATTTACCATAAAATTTCGTTTGAATTTATACCAAAAATATATATATTTTTTTGTAAAAAAACTAATAACTTAATTCAGAAATAAAAAATATTATATGCATCATTTAATGTTAAATAAACCGAAAACAATTAATTATAGATTAATTTTATATACAAAAAATCAAATTAATCATATGATACCAACATTAAAACACAAAAATGACAAAAATATTACACTTTTACCGATAATTTATTTAAAAATAAAGGTAGTTTGACGAATAAAATGTGGTAAAATTTTGTTTTTTTTTTGAAGATGGCCGAATTAATTATATTAAAAACTTTAAGTAAAATAACTTTTAGGTACATGTTTTCCGTTTTATCCCTAGAATGCTTTTAAAGTGTCGAAAAAAAAAACCGAAAAAATTGGGAAAAAACCTGTTTTGATTTTTTTTAACATAGGTACACATTTTAATAAAAGTAGCAATCAACAATTTAACATTAATGTTAATAATTATGTTATTTTAAAAAAATATCCTTTATTACTGAAAAAACAATAAAACTAAACATAGAATTAAATTTAATTGATTTAAGAAAATAAACGTAAACGTTAAATTTACTGTTGGTTGGGTCTTTTTTGCAAAAGGAAGTCCATTGGAATTTCCAATTATAATTTTGTAACTTTACTTTATAAATTCATTATATTGGAAATGAATATTTCCAATTTGGAAAAATTCATTTCCAATATAATGAATTTATAAAGTAAAATTACAAAATTATAATTTTATAAATCGATGTGTGAAATAACACGATAGTTATTAAATTAATACAGCACCTAATATGTTTTTTTGCGGCCCGGTAGAATATTCCTAATTGATTAAAATAATATAAATAATTATTATAATAATATATGATTATAATCATAGTCAGAAATTCAAATTTTCCTCGATATCAGTGTACGGATATTCATGGGCGGATTTAGGTATGGGCTTTATGGGCTGCAGCCCTGAGGCCCCGCTCGACCCAGGGCACCCTACGCATGGAAATTTAAAAAAAAATAATCTTGTTAAAGTTTAAGCTATTAAGATTATTCGATGTTTCTTATCGCTATTTTCTATTTCCTACATAGACATAAAATAGACAACTTTATTGTATAAATACAATATAATATAAAGTTAAACTTTATCGATTTTATAAATCGATAACGGATCAATATGGACGGAAATGATCAGAACAGATATGTCATTTATAAACGCTCGCTAAAAATGGTCTTTTATATATAAGTTTATTAGTTTATGGTAAATCTACTTGTTTAAAAGTTATTTACGCTTAAATAGAATTTATAGTAAATTTTAAGTTTTTCCTACTTTTTATGAAAAACGGATTTATCGGATTTATTATAAAATGTCACGGGATTTTTTGTAGATCATTTTATTTTCCCTAAAATTATATATATATATATATAATATAAATATATTTATAGTTATTATATACATAGTTCAACCGTTGAGTGAAGAAGTTACACTTCGCTTCTGAAAATGCCAACATCGTTTGCGAAAAGTACTTTAAGCACTTTGTGTTTTGTTTTGGTGTTGGGGAATATTTCTTATATTTGGTTTGTATTTATTAATTCCCGCGAAAAAATTAAATCCCTTTTTTGTTATAATTGGATGTGGGTGCATCAATTTAAAAAGTTGTTTACCATTTACTATAATAAATCTTTTTGACAAAACCCAAACGTGTATACCTATAGGCCCCCAAATATATCGGTCCGCCCCTGCGGATCTTATCCGTAAAAAAATTTATAAAGAAAAATTGGCTTTTGCAATTTTTTTTAATAAAATGAAAAATGCAAAAGTCAATGTTTCTGAAAATTTTCCGCCGACTTAATTTTTTCGACTATAGTCGTGTGTGTCCTAATAATTAAAATCAAGGGCCAAGGGATATTTTTAGACCTAAATCTGGCAACACTGTAAGTTACAGGTCACAGTAGAATAAATTCATGTACATAACCTATAATTTAAGATATGCCAAACGTAAGACCTGACAAAATTTCGCAAACTTAATAATTTCAATTTAAGTAAGTACAGAATTATTAAACGGTTGAAAAAAATAGTATATACAACACGGCGGAGAAAGCATATTATCTGCCTCGCTCAGATCTGCAGCGAACACTAAGCTCGGCTTTAAATTGGCGCTTTTACCGCTTGTTAAAGAATTTATTATTATGCTTAAACTGCCATTAAAACATGGTTAGAATTTTTTTTTTCTACTCCTATTACGGAATTTGACCTTTCTAATATCACTTTTATCTATGGAATGACATATATTCCGTAAAGTGTTACAGAATGAAATATTCTATCATCTGATTACAGAATAAACACTCGTGGCGACATCTCTGTTTTTAATATCTAACAAATTTTAGACCGATCCAACCTCACTTTCTTCAAATTAAATTATTTTTCTATGGTATTTTTTGGAAACGTAGAAAAAGTATAGTCTGAAACACGTTTGGAATTGCATATTCCGGTCTCGTGAAACCATCAAACTCGCCTTCGGCTCGTGTGACAAACTCTTCACTCGAGCGGAATATGCTGTATTCCAAACTTGTTACAGAATATACTATTACAAAATTGTTATAATCATATTTTGTAAAATAAAACATTATACCTATTTATAATTTTTAACAAATTTATTTATTATTTTTACATATATATAACCTATAGGTTCTAAAAAAATAGAGAAGATCAGAATACATTTTTATTTAATCCTTTTTTCCTCGCTTTCTTTCTTTTCTCCTTCTTTTGTTGGCGGAGGGCCGAATTTTACCATTTTATTACCTTTGGGAAGCACTTCATTGGGTCCATGCATAGGTTCATTATTTTTGGGGCCTTTGGTCAATTTATCGCTCAAATTCATTTTCCTTTTGGGGATCATTTTACCCAGCTTGCCAAAGTCTAGTTTTTTGGAGTCGCCAGATTTTTCGTCGTGTTTTTCTTCAGGTTTTTCGCCATGTAGAGCCTAGAAGTTGTAAAGAATGTTTTTTTTTAATTAGTTGAAGTTTGAAAAGGTAATGATTATTTATAATTTATTTAAATTAAAAATCTCCACTTTTACGGTCAAGCAGTTTATGGGTAAAAATCAAAAAATGTTTAGGTAGGCGTCTTTGGCTAATTAAAAATTAGAAAAAGAAGTGAAGTGTCTCAAAACTTATTAGTATTATTTCTGCATGTTAATTATACGAGATTTATATTAAATATTTACCCAGATTTAAAAACATCGATTAAAAAGAAAAACAAAGAGCTATTTTGTCTCGTCGGTAACGCGTCCCTTATTACGTTTTACAATTTTACGCTAGATTTTTCAATCAAATCATTTTTAAAAACAGGACAAATGTAAATCACTTTAAAGAAACTAACACCAAGTATTAAATAAATTACATTTTATTTAAAAACAATTTGGTTTTAAAGATCCAGCCTTTGGGTAACAGACTGTCTGCTTTGATCGCATCCTGTCGGTAACGATAACTGTAATTTCGCCTAAAATCCGCCAGGATACGTAATACCTGTCATTTGTTGGTTAGTGTGCTAGAGTTAGTGTTTATGTGTCATTCAAACCAGGTAAGTTTTTCTGTTTATGCATTAAAAAAATATATTTAGGCTTGTTTGCATAAAAACGCTACCGTATTTTTTTACGATGTCTAATCGGTAACTGTTCTAGCGGTAAAATTTTGATGTCGATATGAGATTTGTTACATTTTTCTGATGTATAACACCAATATTTGCAATTTTGATTATAATGGTATTTACTATAAGTATTTTTTTAAACATATATTTTGATTATTATTCCATTTACAGAACCTTTATTCCCGACAAACTATACTGTTACCGACTAGACATAATTGAGATCAGAAGACAACAATTATCAACATAACAAAAAACTACCTTTCCTTGATCTCAAAGATAAGCTTTATTATGTTGCGAAATCTTTATTTTAGAATATTAAAAAGTTTAATGGACAAAAAGCAACATTTTAGTTTTTTAATTGTTGTAGGTCGTTTTCCAAAGATTTTTTGATTTTCACCCTTATATGTTTTAGCACACCCTGAATTTCCAATGTTTATTGAAATCATTCCAAAATATGGTAAAAATTTCAGGTTTACTGTTATTTTTTTTAAGTCAAGTTTAGAATGCAATTTTTGCCATATTTTTTGAAAAATATGCAACCCATTATACATACATTAAAATGAATAATTTAAATATTATACAGAATTATCCAAAACTATTTAATATTTCTTAAGATATTTTGGATAATTTAAAATATTATATTAATATGTTTAGTTTTATAGGCTAGTAAAAGTGTAAGATTTTATATAGAGAACCCAATACTTTTATACCGGTAGGACCCTTTCGCGATATTTTTACATTTTTCTCTTGTAGCTTTTGAAATTTACTATAAAATAAATATTTCCTTTAAGTAAATTAGTCCAGTGAAGGCTAGGCAATCTATAGATTGTATACAACATTTTCAGCCTCATAATTTGTTGGTGACAAATTAATGTTGTTTAAAAATATGTCTATTAAAAGATTATAGGCATTAAAACTTTGTAATAAATTTACTTTTTGCTTTGTTGATGCGTTGTTGCGTAATTAAAGAAAAAACACGCGATAACCGCTCAACGATTCCAAATTAGTACAACTGCTAGTCTAGTAGGTAGGTAATCTAAGATCTAAGTACAATATTTTTTTTTTAAACTTGTTTTTTAATTAACTAGTTAATTCAACTATTGACTTTTTTTAAAGGTAATTATCAACAAAAAATATCCCTTTAGATTTACCAACTGGTCACTATTACCTTAGGGTAAATTAAAAGGTTATTTTTTAGTACAATTGATCTATTAAAACAATATTGGTAATATAATACAAAATATTTTTTTATTTAAAATTTGTTTCATTTATTCTTATTATTTTTAAAGCGCGTGATGACCATGTTTAGTATAATATAATAAAATAAATTTAAACCGGTTCATTTTCATACTTTCAGTTTTTTAAAATAAACATAAACAAATATTAAAGTATTTTTAACCAAAAGGTAAATTAACCAAAAAGTTATACTCATATACTTAATAATACGTTAATCTAACCATAATTTAATTCCCCTCTTATTACAAAATAACGTTTTGGTAGAATATTACTCAAATGCATTAACCAGGAATAACGTTAATATAAAGTTAATTTAACCAGTTCAAAGCTCGCGACTTGGAGCGTAGATTGTCCACTCCCACACTGGACCAATTTAATTAAGCTGAATAGTCAATTTATAGGAAATTTATAAATACAAGAGAGAATTTTCTAAAAAAAACATTGCAATAGGGGTTAGAAAAAGGAGAAAACCAATTTCCAAAAAAGTTGTTCCTTTTTTTGCATATATTCATACAACAACGCATCGATGAGCAAAATAGGTTTGATAAAAATTGTAGCTCCTAAAATTGACAGTATTAATCTTATTAAAACTTTTGTTTGTTTTTTTTCAAGATGGTGGGCTATGAGGCGCCGTTTGTGCCATTTCGCCGCGGGGTTTGTTCGGATCAATTCGAAAACCAGAATAAATATTATTCAATAGGTATATGCTTTTTCGAATAAAAAAATAAAATTTCAACCGGTATAAAAGTATTGGGTAACAAGAAATGGTAATTTTATAAATTTTGTTAAAACCTAATTTATTTTAATGATTTATTATAATATATTTGAATCGGTGAGATTAAGAACGGTTAAGAGTTAAAATTTTGACAAAAATTTAAAAAAATCAGTTTTATAGTTTTTGTGATAAAATTTTAACTATTTTATAAAATATAATATTCATATTCTGTAAAATGATTTATATCTTCTCACAAAAATGTATTTTGAATTTTAAAATTGATTTTAGAAAATGACTTGCCAAAATTAAATTTTTGGACTTGTACCCAAAGATAATACACCTACTGTTCTTATTCTCATTTACATTATAACATAAATCTGACAACCATAGGTTTCTCTGTGCTGACAACATTGTAAACTCGAATTCTGTCAATAAATAATACGACAGTTTTAAAAATTGCAAATTGCAAAGTTTGTTAAATTTAACACTTTTTCTGCACCTAAAATACAGTGTGTTTCAAATTATCAACCTCCTAAAGGAAGTAACGAATATAAAAAGGTTTATTTAAAAACAAAGAAAACGTCGATAATTCAAAAAGTAAAACTATAATAAATATAAATATATATATATATATATATATATATATATATTAGGGTGGCCGTTAAAAATTAAATTTTTTGCGACGCCCCCTAAAAAGCTTCGTTTTGATGAAAAAACACTGTTAATGTTAATTTTATGGTATAATCATGTCGACTGAAAATATGGAATAATAATTTTTTTGAGATTTAAAAATTATTAACAATGAAATAACTTCACCTTGGAGTGAAGAAATCTAGATATTAAAATTACGTTTGTACTAATTTAGTTTTAAAATAAAAATATCAATTTGAATATCTTTAATTTTTTTATTTAATAGACCAATCAACTGGGAAAAATTTTGAATTTAAATTTTTGTCTATTGTTATTTCGATTAACTATTGTTTTTTTATTGATTTGGGTTCTATAATTGTTTATACCTATTTCGAATAAAATTTTATTTTTCATAAAAAATTCCCCAAAAAACATGATTATACCAAAAAATTAACTTAGATCGTCTTGAGGCACGTGTTGTTTTTAATTAAAAAAAAAAAATCCCAGTGTTTTTGCAAAGAAGCTTTTTAGGGGGCGTCGCAAAAAATGTAATTTTTAACGACCACCCTAATATTTATAAATATATTAAAAAAAAAGAGTTTGCCTCAATGTCATCTACAAGTTGTCCATTTCAAGTAGAAACACCCTGTATACTTAAATGGTTTATTACAAAGATTATCTTTGGTTTATTATACTTATTTATGTCAAAATTAGCAATTGTGATTTAAAAAAATAAATAAACGTCGACTAAATTAATGTCCAAGCCTTATTCGTTAGATACATAAATGTAGATAAAAAATATAAAAAACACTTACCTGAGCCAAAATAATTACTCCCAAAAGGGTTAAAACGATGAATGTCTTCATATTTACACTATGAGTTTACACAAAATTTCTGCCGAATTTATATTAAAAATACCTAGGTACGCATTTTTTTTCGAAAAAAAAAATTAAACTTAATTCAGCAACAAAAAAATTATGCGCATCATTAAATGTTAAATAAACCCAAATTATTAATTTTATAATAAAAAAATCAAATTAATCCTATAAAAGAACCAATTTCAATAATATACCAACATTAAAACACAAAAATGACGAAAATAATACACCAAATTTTAATAATTAACTTTTTAGTCTATCAAAATTCTTGCATAGCAACATTTAGCCCATTAAGGTGGATTGTAGCCCCAAACAACGGCGAGATCTACCAGGACGAATTCACGGACTTTTTGAACGGTAAATATGGCCACGTAGACCTTCATATTTGACCCCTATCGCCTTATATTTACAGATTATTCTAGAACCACTACTTCGCCAAACCTTGCAGGTGAATTAAAGTTATTATAAAAATTGTTGTTTTACAAATTTTACTTTTCAGAAAAGGGCTTAGGGACCACCGGTGAGTCATTGTATTGTTGCCAAGTTGCATACTATTACCAGGAATGTGTTTTTAGAGAGTTATGGGACAAATGATTTTGTTACGTATATTTACAACTTTCCAAAAGAAAACATTGTTAATAAAAATAAAGGAAAAAGGGAGATAAATAATGGAAAATATAAAAATCATAGTAAAAAGGAACAAAACAATTATTTCGATGAAGAATATGAATATATAAAAACTACTATAAATTGAATGCAACACATAAAAAGTTTAATATATTTTTAATGATTATATTAATACCAATATAAAATGTTATAAAATCACATATATGGGTTAGTTTATGCTTATATTTTTAATGTTAAAGTACAAAATGAATATTTTTCAAACTTTGATGTTTTTATTGTTATTTTTTTCCATTAAAGGGGTAAGTAAATGGTTAATATGTAAACATTCTGTAATTGATTTGTAGATTAATATTTTAGAAAAAAATGATCAAAAAAATGTCATAAAAAATCGAAATTTACGTAAGTTATCAATGTTTTAGTCGGTTTTATAATAAAAATAATGTTTCTAGTAACTATTGACAATTATCTAAAAAAATGTGGTGTTTTCCCCAACATGTATCCCAATAATCCAACAACAATCAGTACTACTACTACAACAGAAATGGATTACGATAATGATGAAACAAATCGTTTGAAATTAACAAATAATCGAAGAAAAACTACCAATAAAACCCGAAAAAAACGTAAAAAACAAACAAAAATTGAATAACAAACAAAAAAAAACATAAAAATTTAAATGAATACAATAAAAACTAAAGAAAATACCTTTTTTTCATTTCAAAACACAATTAAAAGTATGTCATTGCAAAACAAAACAAAATATAATCAAAAACAAATGAAGATAACAAAACATCAGAGCGGAAGTCATTAAATAAATTAAAAAAATATTTTTATTTAAGTAAAGTCAATTTTATTTGAATTTTAATTAAATTAATATTAAAAACAGAGTGGCAATTACTTATTCCCCTTGGCTAGATTTTAAATAATTATTATTTTAAAAATCGTTATTTTAGCTCATGCGCACCAAATCTTGTAAAAGCAACGTTGCCGGATATCTCATTGGGGATTTAGTTCTTTTTATACGTAAATATAACATTTTGTATTATATTTTTACAGCCAGTTTAAGCTGCGTGTAAATAGTTTTCGAAAAATGCCAATTTCCTTTTAAATCACCGAAATGTAATTGATTGGAGGTATTGGGTAATGTCGGCTTCAGAAGTTGGGGGATGCGACACCCCCTTACACCCTCCCCGCTACGTCCCTGTCTGCGTGCAAAATTTTACTAAACCCGTTCGATTTTACTGTAATATTCCCAACATGTCTTCTTAAAATGAAATCTGGCAACCTTGAGTTAATTGAACTACTTGGCTGTGTCAAGCGCATTCGTAGTTCGAATGTCACTCCCTGGATGACAGTTAATGTGATTTTTTTACTTCTTTGGTGTTTGTTGTGTTTTCGTGGTTGATTTGTAATGAAAACAGTGTAAATATACAAATAAACATGTCTAAATTAAGTGAAGATATAAAAATAGGGCTGGTGGACTTAATTAAACATGTTTCTGGTTTGGATGTAAGTTTCATAACCTCACTAAACATTTTTTGATTTTTACCGGTTAATTTTATTTTAGGAGGGTAATGAGAAGTTTGTGGCTCTAAAAAGGCATTTTACAGGTGTTATAAAAAAGTCTGATTACATGTACTTTTCGTCGAACAAAGAAATAAATGATAATATTCAATTTATGAGCGATAAATATTTATTACATGGTTTTTTCGCGCAAGCTGAGGATCTTAAAGCGGCTTACAGTAAATATTTAACGCCAAATTTATCGAAAAGCGAGTGTCAAAATAGGTTGAACAATGTTAAGTTTTTATTGGGGATGTCGGAGAACCCTACAAAGTATTTTTTTGACAACCCTGATGAGTTTATCCAGAAAAAAGTGGAAAATGTTGATAATATAAACTGGAAAGAGTATTTAAATGAGGGTATTGAAAAATGGGAGCCTGATTTCAACGATTCAAGTGTAAGAAAAAAATTTTTTTTTTTAAATTTGTTTAAATAAATGATTTGTAGGAGTCTTATAGTTCAGATGAATCCACCAACTTTACTGATGAAATTCTACAAGTTACACCACTAAACTCCCTACCAATTATTACCGAAACATCACAAGATGGTATTGTCACTGATTTAAGGTTAAGTCGAGATGAATTGCTTGCTAATATTCAACATTCATGGTATAAATCTGAAAATAATAAATTTGAACCCCAAAGTGAATGGCGTGAAGCTAATATAGGCATATTATGGTAAAAATATAACCTAAAAGTTTGACAAGTGTCACTTTTAGATGTTATGACAGCTGTCAGATTTAGTGGTTATAGAAGTGTTTTGTTTTAGGGAAAGGCACCTTGATCATCAAGTGGAAGGTCTGATTCCTTTGCCAAAATCAAAAATTCTATCGGAATACAAAGTTATTAGGGAAATATTGTTTCAGATATGGTCAATGCACAATTCTGTGGTTTTTGAGATTAATGGGGATAAAATTAAGGTTAAAAAAGATGTCACAATTTCCAGTGTCAGATCTGTACGTATTTTTGTTTATAATTAATGTTAAATTTAAAAATTATTATTTTTAGATGTGTTTCGAGAACTTCATGGGAGAATTTGTGCCCCACATTGAATTAATGGAAGAGTTTAGAGATTTTTTTCAATCGACAGACATAACCTCAAATTGCCCATGCACATACAGAAGTTATTCTTCATCTCTTAAAAAAATTATCAATCCAGTATACAAAAAAATCGTCGAATTGGAAGATTTAATACGAAAACAAGGCAAGTCAAAACCGCGATGTTGCCAAATTTCAAAAATGCGACGTTGCCAGATTTGCAAAAATGCGTAATTTCAATGCTTTTTTCAGATTCGACGTATACGTTGTTGAAACTGGCGGACGATTTGTCGGTGATTTTGGAGCCGATGCGTGTTTTAAAGCGCATACATCAAAAATCGATTTTGAACCAGGAAACGGAAGATTTTTTGACTTGTTCGACCAGTTTGATTTCAAACTTGCATGGCGGTTTGCAGTTGGCTTTAAATAAAGCCGATCAGGATTTGAGGTTGACGATTTTCGTGGAAACCCTGCATCATTATTTGCAGATCGTAAATTGTTGGTTGGTTCAAGATATCTTTGACGAAGAAAGCGATTTAACGCGGGAATTTATCATAGAAAAGTATGGGAATATTAAATTTTGCAAATTGTTTTTATTAATTTGTTTATATTTGCAGCAAAAATGATTTAAATATCACAAAAAACCCATCGCACAGGTGTGTATCAAATATGACGTTTCAAACGTCATATTTGACATTTTAAACGTTAAATTTGACTTTAACGTGAAAATTGACGTTTAATTGTTTAAGGAACGTGGATTTCACTTTGAATTTCGAAATTAGGCGAGGGGAATTTTTACAGAATGGTTTATTGAAGATTTTGGCTGAAAAAGTTTTAAAAATCGGAAGAAATATACAACTTTTGAGGATGTTGGGGAAATATGATGTGGTTGAATTTAAAAAAGGTATTTTTTGTTAAGTTTTCACTTTTTTATATTTAAAGTGTTTTTTAGAGACAATCTACGATGAATTCGTGCGGAGGAGTTTGGAGGCGATGTGTAAATTTTATAAAGTCGATTTTAAGGATGTTTTTAAGGATAATGTGGTTTTTCATGAAGAAATAGAAACCTTTAAATTTCCCGTCATTCCATGCGAAGGAAACATAAAAAATGTTACTGAAATGGATAAATTGGAATATTTAGTTGATACATCAGATGGATTTCTTATGAAAGCATTTGAAGAGTTTTTTATAGAACAAACTAGTACTGAAATTACACGAGAAAAAACGTTGTTTGAAAAGTATGTATAATATTTTTTGTATTTTTTTTACAGTTTGCATTTAAAGTCCTTTTTATTTAAAAACATAAATTACATGCCTACCATACAATAACAGAATTAAAGGGGTGAAAGCAAAACAATTTGGGCACAATGTTTGTCAATGTTGAAAAAATGTAGAGTAGAAATGTCACTACAACTGTCAAAAGCGAAAAGCGTTACCATAGTAACTATCAATAACTTGCAATGTTGTAGCGTTTAAATCGTATTTTTTACGTTTTTTAATTCACGTTCCTGTGTTACAATACATATGGGTCATTCCATATCAAATCACCAAATTTTAAAAATTGAAACTCATAAAAAATTAGAAAATTTTAAAAAACTTGAATTTATGGTTAAAAAATACTAAAAAGTGGCTTAAAAAATCGAAGATATTTGAATCCCACTTTCATTAGGGGCCTAAAAAATTTGTTTTACAGTCTAGTATAACATACATGTATATTTAAAAAAAATGTCGATCTTCAAAAAAAGTCAAAATTTAAGTTAAAAGTTAAGAAAAATCGGTGAAAAAAAAATTTGGTTTTTATATATTTTTTTCAAAAACTACATTTCAAAACGAAGAAATTAGCCACCGGTTACGACAATTTAAGCAGGAGTTATGAATTTCTGAAAATTATCGTATCGTTATTTTTTTGCGATTTTCAAAAATTCATATCTTGAAAATTAAGGGCTGAAAATTTAGGGTTAGGCGTCTTTTGATACGTACAAAAACATATCAATAATTTAACTGAATCAAAAAATACAATTTTTTAAATTTGGTGATTTGATATGGAATTACCCATATGTATAAAGTGCCTTTTGTAGTAAAATAAAAAATAATTATAAAATCAGTTAGAAAATTGTCTGATTTTTAATCAAATGTAATAAAATGACAAAGTAAATATTTTTTGCAAGTTGGTACCTGTCGCTATTTATGAATTAAGTATAAAAGCAACTCCCCCTACACCTTGCCCCGCAATATACTGCCCGAACCTCCAACAAAACTTATCAATAAAGTTTAATAAGTAGCTCAGGCATGCTATTAATAGATTTTGATAAATTAAAATTGTCCCAACATTAACTTAAGTATTTGGTATATTATAAATTAAAACACATTTCATTCCTTTCACACACTATGTGTTTTTGTTATGTAAATTTAAACATTGAATTGACAATATAGCAACCATGGACTTTTTGTTACTGTCCTTCCTCAGCCTAAGGAACGTTTAAAAAAAATTAATTACAGTTTCAGTATCTTAAATAGAAGTTCTGTTTAACCACCCAAATGAAATATTTTTTGTCACTTGCTTCTTACCCCTTTAATTACTATAACAGTTAATAATTTTTAATTTAACATTATAATTATTTAAAATTCATTCAAATTTGAATAGTTATTATTTAAAATCAAAATTGCACAATTTTTTTTGAAAACTAAGTATAAGAATGCAATTTTTAACACATTGTTTAGCATAACAATTTATTATTCAATATTATCAAAAAAACTTATAAAGTTGTATAACTGTATTGGATTTAATACCGTCGGTTTTTTCTTTTTTTTAAGCTTTTTCCAGGGGCGTAGCTACCGCGGTATCAGTCGTATCAATGATTGACTTCGACAAGTCATCATTTAAATAATTTAAAATTAGGACACAATGCTGAAATTTACATTTACATTTACATTTGTTAGTTAATTTTGTTTAATATATAACTATAAACTACAATATTACAGTAAATTTTTTATGGAAATCTCTAAAAACAATTTTTAAGCACTTTTTCAAATTTCGTGCTGCTAACTTAAGAAATACAAAAATATGACAGTTTTAAAAATTAATTTTGTCATTATAACAACAAATTAAAAATTTATATTGTTACTTATTTACATATTATATTGTTTTTAATTTTTTTAAATTAAAATACTTTTTATTTTTACTACATTGGCACCATTGAATTTGCTGTCACAGCCTACTGTACTTTATTTAACAAACTCTTTAACCCTTTATAGGACCAATTAATGTATTTTCCAAATGTGACTTTTTTTTACATAATTTGTGTTCAGTTGTATATTATATACTAGATAATATTCTTGGAAACATGCAAAAGTCAGTACTTCCGGTTTTATAGGGAGGTAAACTATTATACCACGGTGCATTCATTGCAACGACTTAAAGCAAACAAAACTGGTGAAATAATATACCACTTTAATTGAAACTAAATTCCGAAATACAATAAAGAAATATAATAACTAAAACTTATTTTAATCTTATGCCTAAGCTTATGAAGACTATTTTATTGTTATACTTAAGCCTTTGTAGAATTATTTGATACATTCTGGTGGAATGCTTTGCAAACCAAGTTACTACGTTTTTGTTTCTGCTTGGTGCTACAGAATGCACATCTTCTATATGTAGAAACTACTGGCAAGTGACTGCCAACATCAAGTAATCGAATTGCATTATGCACCGTACCTCTTCCATATCGATTATTGTTTTTTCGGCCAGTTCCTTCTGGATCGGCTGGTCTCCCTCGTGACAGAGTACTAGAAAATGTTCCTATAAGCTGGTCTAATAGACAGCTCCTAAATTGCAAATGTGTCATGCACTTGGAAGTATGATTTTCACTAATATATTTAGTTTTATATAAAATATACGAATTTACCACTGCTGCATCAATGACGTAAAAAAAAAGCTTCATCCACCACCTGCGCGACTTCCATGCAATGTTATAGGTTGAATGCAGTTGATCGAAATGATCGACGCCTCCCATGTGCAAGTTATAATCCCGGATCGCCCTTGGACAAATCACATCTTCCTTCTCTCCTTTCTTATTTCGCCGTTGAACAGAGGTCGTGTCAGAAGGATCATGCATGTTGCTGGCCACTACAACGGGTTTGGTGCTTCTGTCTTTCCATTTATATACACTGATATTATCACCCGAACTAGCAAAATCAAATTGGCCCAATGACAAATCTTTATTTTCACATAATTTGTCATGTGGAAAATTTCTTCGGTTGGTACGAAACGTTCCACAGGCAAATGAGGTGTTTTCTGATAATAATTTCGTCAATAATGGAAATGATGAAAAAAAGTTGTCAAAATACAGACAGTATCCTTTTCCTGATAGAGATTTGGAAAGATTCATGACAACTTTCTCTCCTAAAGCAAGACTTTCAGGATTGTCGGACTTCCCCTGGTAAACATCGAAATCTATCATATAACCTGTTTTAGCACAGGCCATTGCCCAAACTTTTATCCCCCTTTTGATGGGTTTTAACGGCATGTATTGCTTCAATACGGAACGGCCTTTGAACGCCACCATACTCTCGTCAATGGAAATAAATCTTGATGGTGCGAAGTTTTTTTTGAATTTTGCCGACATATGGTTTAGTAAAGGCTGCACTTTATACAATTTATTGTATCCATCTTTTCCCTTTGTGGGCATCTGTTCGTTGTCAGCCAAGTGTAGAAATCTTAAAATTTTTAAAAATCTTTTCATAGTCATCACCTTTGCAGCACGCTCATTATGAAAATTATGATTATTTGACCAGTATAATCTAATGCTTGGTAAATTGTTAATTCCAAACAGTAACAATAACCCAAAGAAAGCTTTCAGCTCGTCAATATGCAGATTTAATGTCACACCTTTCTGCGATGCGTATAAATTGCTCTGCTCTATAATAGTTTCCATTATACTGTTATCAAAATATGACTCGAAAATCGATAGCGGATTATTAGTTGATATATTACATTGCACTCCAAAAGGTTGATCAAATATGAAATTCTTAAAAAGGAGATTAGGAAGACGTGCATTTTTTTCCCACTTCATTGAATCATTGCCATCACGTGGAACTGTTTTTTTTGGTCGTTTTTACTTTAGCTTGTACAGTCTCCTCTTCGCTATCCTCGGAGGATTCACTTGACGCAACAAAAGCAGTACGATATAGTCTCTTTTTTGCATTTTTACTACCAACTGTGTAGTCTGGGTCTTGCAAGCTGTCATCTGACGAATAAGGATCTGAGTCCCTCCCATCATGTTCTTGTAAATCAGTAATTGAAGACTTACTTTCTTCTCTAGCCGGGACTACTGATGGTTCAGAGGAGCACAAGCGGCTACTTGATCGGCTAGAGGGGGTTGAGAAACCGCTACTTGATCCATTAGAAGGGGTTGAGTGGGACGGAAAATTATCCTCGGCATCCGAGTCTCCATTTACATCTGAGTCTATAGCTTGTTGATCTGTTATTCCTTCATCATCTGATAATTCTCTGAGCAGATCATATGCCTCTTCACCTGTCATTTTAGAAACATCGAAGTTTTTAGCCATTTCTAGCAACAAAACCAAATATTAGAAATGCCCAGTTTGTACATGTACTCTAAAATGGTTGAAATCATCTTTGCTGATAAAATATAAGCAAGATTTTGACCATTTTATACTTGAACAGTGTTTTAGGAAAAAATATTGCATTGTTACAAAATATAAAAGTGTATTTATTTGATAAAAAATAATGTCTAAGTTTCAATAAAAATTCTAACCTCAAAATTTTACACGAAATAATTAGCAAAATTTCAGATAATTTGAATAAATAATGCTCTACAACTAATTGAATAATAACAATTCCACCTTTTCTAATAATAATAATACATAATACTTACTGATTTGTTAAAATCCTCGGCACAGGAACACTTCAAAATAAGAGAAACACGACAATAAACAAAAAACATAATTTTTAACAGAACTTGGTAAATATATTTACCACTTAATTTTCAATTGTCAATGATGCCAACCTATTAAAAATTAAATGGTAAATATGTTTACCAGTGTGCCTTATTTATCCTATAAAAACCTCCTGTAGTGCATAAGGGTCACTTTTTCTGCAAATTTCCTATATTTTGAACCATATGTGAGGTGGTAAATTATTATACCACAGACCTATAAAGGGTTAAATGGAGATTCTATTTTAACTACTAAATTTATTTTGCCAAAATACCAACCAAATCAATTTTAAGAATTAAAAAATGACAAATGTTTTATTTGTTGTTTTGTAGTTGTTAAAATTCCATTGTTTGGTATTTTGGTAAAATGAATTTACTATAGATATAGGTAACTAAATGTTAAAATTAACTTAAAAAGTTAATAATTTTTACCAAATTCAAAATATTACATTTTGCCAGCTGTATCCCATATTTCTCCATATTTTTTACAGAATATCTCAAATAACAACGCAACATCTTTTACCAATTAACAATTTTTTCGAAAAAGTCCTACATAACATTCTGAAAGAAAGATTTACCGTCTCCGGATTGATGGTGAAAAACGTTTTAATCGAAAAATACAACTTGTATAAAGAAATTACATTCCTATGGCACATATTTTTATTCCACGACGATATTATATTCCCGTTTTACCGGAAACTATTCAAGAAGGTAAGACATAACCTCAAATGACGTTTTTAACGTCAATTTCGATTTTTGAACTGTCAATTTGACGGTTAAAACGACTGAAAAAATCTCAATTTTCGATTGCAGATGAACTATAGCAGAAACTGGGGTAACGAAATCTGGCTGACGAGCAACCTGCACGACGTTTTGGTGGACACGTTCCCCGATTTCTACGCCAAATGTTCCGTCGCGACGCAGGAAAGCTGGCAACAGTGCGCCAATTCGCTCGACTGTTGCCGAACCGTCGAAATCAAATACGCGGTGGAATGGCCGAACAACTTGATCGTCTCGCACGAGCAGATGCGAAAATACGAGGCGATGTTCAAATTTTTGCTGAGGCTGAAATGGGGGTTGCATACCCTCAATCATCTCTCATTTGAAGGTTAGTTAGTTAGTTAATGGTGCGACGTTGCCAAATTTTCAAAATTTGACGTTGCCGAATTTTCAAAATGCGACGTTGCCATATTTCTGACGATTTTAGATTTGGAGCCGAAAAAATCATCTAGGGGGAAATCGGGTTGTAAGAAGTTGCAGATGTTGAGGTTTTTGAAGTTTTGCCTTATCAATTTGATGAATACGGTGCAGCATTTCGTTTTTGGTTTTGTGATACGAAAAGGTTTGATGAATTTCGAGTTGGAATTTGAAAAATCGACGGATTTGAATTCGATAAGAAAATCGCATGAGAATTTCGTCGATTTTACGTATGAAATGATTTTGATGGTGATTAATGCTGAGGAAAATAAATATGGGTTTAATTCAGTAAGTTATGATACAAACAAAATATTTAAAAATATATATTTTTGTGTGTTTTTAGCTTTTACTGTGTGTCAAAGCTCTACACAAATTATGGCATAATACACAACATGTAAGTTTGGAAAAATTAAAAGAATGCCAAAAAGTATATGTAAAATCTTACAAAGTTTTGGATCCAGTAATAAACCCTGTATATATTTTCGATTATTAAGTTTATTAATTATACGCTGTGATATTATTTATTTATCAATAAAATAGTGTTATTTTGTAAAAAAAATTGTGTTTTATTGTTACTTTATAATTGGGAATTTAAAACAGTTTTGACAATATTTTGTTTTTTTAAATATATGAAACTACATATAACACCTTGTATTTTTGACACTGTTGAGTTTTCTATATATACAATAATAATACATTTATTTTAGCCCCTATTTTGATATTAAAGTTTTTCCATTGAAATAACAGAAAATTCAAGATTTTTTTTCAATTTCATATAGCTTGATCACATTTTAGTAAAATGATTTTTTGTTACTAGAACATGATAAGATGCTATTTTTACCTATGCAGTATTCGGTAACGTATACAGTGTATATGTCGCCGAAATCATATGCATAAACATGTTTAATAAAACAAAATATAATTAATCCGTGAGATTAAAAATAGTAAAAGTCCAAAAGTTTTGTAGTTCAAAATGCATTTCTGTGAGAATATTTTAACTATTTTATAAAATATAATAACTATATTTTGTGATAGTTATTTCTTTTGCAAGTGTTAAAAAGCGACTTTTTCATGCGAGTGTTTTAGTTGCTCACGAGGCCGTCAGGCCGAGTGTGCATTAACGAGCTTGAAGAAAGCTTTTTTCACAAGTGAAACACAATGTTTTTTCTACGACCCTTTTATTTTGTTTTATATTCAAATAAAAAACAAAATAACCTAAAAACGTGTTTGACAGCTTTTAAAGTTACTTTCATCTTATTCTATTAATTGTTAAGGTATAAGTTACTTAAAATCAATAAACTTACCTTCTCAATTTAAATAAAGGCACTAAAATTGGAATTTTTTATACAAACACAATTAATTGTGTTCTAAATGATATTTGGACATATCTACCTACATATAAAAATACAATACAAATTTTGAAACGAATGTCAAACGATGCTGTCAGTTTATTTTCACACAGACCTTTTAAGACAGAGAAATGTCACTTTACATTTGTGTTTTGCCTTGCCAATGAAAATATTAATTTTCTAAGCAACGATGCCATTACGAAATATGACTTTTACATAGTGGTCGTAGAAAAAAAAAATATAGTAAATTTAATTTCCCATAAAAAAGTTTATTCGTGGTAATGCATGTATATCTATAGAGCATTTAATAAAAATTTACTGTCAAAATATTGATAAACTAATTAGTCCTATGTTGTTTTACGGCAAAACAATTAAAGTTTAAAGAAAAAAGTAAACTAAACTTATACCTATTAAAACTAAATTTTGCTATCAAATATTGATAAAGTCTACGTTGTTCACATAAACCTTTTCTCTTAGATTTATGCCAACAAACTAAACATTATTAGGAAAGCAATTTTAAATATTCCTCCCGAAACCTATAGGTATACCAAAAAATTATGAAAAATGTAATTAAAAGGCCTCATTTGTGCGGCTTCCAGATGCGGACATTTTAATATTATTTTTTTACATAATTTCTAACTTTCTATAAAAGATTAAGATAAAACAAAAAGTATTTTCAAACGTATTTTATTTTATTTTACAAATATTTAAGAGACAAACCTGTTCAGCTTTAAGAAGATCAAAAACTATTTGTATGTTAATAACCATGATTCTGGCAACACCTAAGTGTCACATAATACAAGTTTCAAGGAATAAAATGACAGGTTTAAACATAGAGTACACTTTTATAAAAATCAGATTTGTTGACATGATTTTGTATATTGTAAAATTTTAACATAATTTTTTGTAGAAAACCAGGGTTTGTAATTATTTTAACAAAGGAAAATATTTTAATTTTTTAAATAATGAATTATACAGTATCATTGCTTTTTGCTTTAAAACTCGAACAAATACATATTTTAATTCACAGAATTTATTTAAGGAGCTGAACAAACGACAGGAGCTAAAATTACCGCAAATATAAATTTTGACACGCGCGGTTTTATTTTGCCAATTTTTATTTGATTGCATTAAAATTTGAACACGATAAAGTAGATACATGAACCTACAAAATCGGACAACCATTATTCGATTAACAGCACAGCAAAATTGTCGAGTATTGGCTAAAAACGAACTTTTTTGTAAAAAAATATTTTTGAGGGTAAAAACTTTGTGTTTAAAACTGTAAAAGTCACATTTCGTAATGGCACTGTTGCTTAGAAAATGAATCTTTTCATAGGCAAGGCAAAAAGTGAGAGGTCTGTGTGAAAAAAACACTTTTTCAGGTTATTTTGTTTTGTATTTGAAAATAATAAAAAATAAAAGGGTCGTAGAAAAAACATAATATTTCACTAGTGAGAAAAGCTTTCTTCAGCCTAACGGCCTCGTAAGCAACTTAAACACTTGAAAGTCGCTTTTCTATATTTTGTTGGATTTTATTTGTTTTATTGTTGAATTTTATTTTTGTTTTATGTTTTGTTTTATTTTATATGTTTTGTTACAGGTATATTATATGTTTTGTTGAATTTTATTTTTTTTTGTTATAACATATATGTTTTATATATTTTGTTGGATTTTATTTGTTTTGTTTTATTTTAAATGTTTTGTTATATAGGTATTATATGTTTTGTTATATTTATCCTTTAAATTCTATATTTTGTTTGAGATATTATATTTATTTTTTACACTTCTATTTATCATACTTTTCAACACTTGTAAAACAAATAATTATTTTATTTTCAATGATCCTTGGTTAAAGTAGTTAACTAAAAAAATATATAACTACGAATTTAAATGTTTGCAAAATAAAAAAAACAGTTTTTGTTTGACAATATCCCAAAAGCAAGAGCTAATTGAGCAAAATGATTGTCATTTTGGTTATCAGCGCACCCAAATTACCCTAAAAAAGTTTAACAGAAAACTTTATTTTGTCGGCCTGTGATTATAATCAAATGTGTCAAATAAAAAAAAATCATAACTAGTTATCTTTTGGTCATTTTGCCAATCATATTGGCGTGATAATGCTTCCACGAGGAAAGCCATCAACGCCATTGAATGAGCGGTTGCCTGGTTACGATGTTATAGACGTGTAGATGATTAGCGATTGTTAATTAGGCGGCTACATTTCAAAGGTAATACTATTTTTAAGCGTTTTAAGGGTTTTCATGACGTAAAATTGCAAGCAAAGCGATTTTTTCGTATTAACATCGTAGCCTACGAGATAACCAGAACAAATCTCAAAAGCAATTTAGGGAATACGTACGGGGACTACCTATTTAAATTGGTTTTTATTGAGTAAATAAATAAAATGGGGGTACGAAATAATAGGTAAAATGTGTTTTCCCAACAAAAACCTATTTATTTTATAAAGTTTTGCACAAGATTTTGATAATGTGGAACTTTGTCATTTCATCTCATTGTAATAATGTTTATAAAATACGCATACAGTTTTTGTTTTGTAATGTCCAAAGGAAATGTATAAAGAACGAAATAAAGAAATTCGATATTATTAAAACTTTTGTAAATAGAAAAAATTCTTAATATATTTCAATACTCGTATTTCAAAGCGTTTTAGCACTCAACAAATCCTCTCGAAATACAACTCTTTATAAATAGCAATACATGTACATAAAATAAACGTAAGAAATCCTTTTTAAAACAAGCTTTTAATGATTTAAAAAGTAAAAAATAATATTTATAAATAAACTATGGTTTATGAAGGTAAATAGTAAAGCTACAGAAAAACCAAAGAAAAATTACATTTAAATATTTTTCTTAAATGCTTAAGGCTTTATTTCAAGTGTAATGACGTTTTACGCCTCTGGCTTTTAAGAAAATAGGTACAGTGGAGGACACGGAATTTTAAACGTCTTAATTTGGTTGTCCATGTATAAATCTGTAAATAGCAATATTGACCATTTTTGCTTTCGTTGTCAAAATGACAAGTAAGGTTAGTTGTTCATAAAGGAAGTTAAGATTTTGATATCAACGGGATGATTGTCCTTCAAAATTCCTTGTCCACCACTGTACCTATAAAAATTTGATTTAATTTTGTTGGTTATTCTGTAGCTTTCCTATTAAACTTTATGCACTAAATATTATTTTTTACTTTTTGGTTCAATAACAGCTTGTTTTTAAAAGAATTTTTTACGTTTATTTTATACTTGGCAGTAGAATTTGTTTTAATATCTAGTCTTGCACGAAAATCATGCGCGATCTCGCAAGATTTGCAAGATTAGGACGCAGCGCATTCCATGTGTGTTTTGAGAAGTAATTTTCAAAATAATGTAGTTTTTTCAATAAATAATTAAATAATTTTAGTCATGTTTGTTTTTTGCTTCAATAGCTTGATGATTATTCATATATAATATTATATAGGTATACCTATACTGGTATACCAGTAGTGGTAAAATATTTGATTTTTATACTTTTCTTGTAAATTTTGCAAGTGGCGTTAATTTTTAAATTAATGCCACGAGCGAAATTTCCAAGGAAAAATTTTGAGTAAATAAAAATCAAAAATTTTTTCAGGGAAAATTTTATCACGAGTTCAATTCACTTTCTGAATGATTTTTTTGACCCTAACGCATATTTATTGACATTTTTATTTTAAAATTGGAAACGTCAACATTGAAAATTATTTTTCGCATAGCAACCAATTGGTTACTACGTTTTTTCGTAAGTAATATCATAAGGGCATTTAATTTTTTCGAAAAAAAATCGAAAAATCACGTTGCTAAGTAATATTTTAACAAGAAGCATGAGTGCTGGTGCATGGAAACAAAAATCCGAGTTGAATGCACTTTGTTAAAAAATATTACTTGGCATTGTGTTTTTTCGATTTTTTTTCACAGGAAAAAGATGCCCGAATGGTATTTGACATAACAATTTAAATATAAATTGCAATTTTTGGTGACAACAGCTCTGTCAAGTTTTGCCGCCAGGTGCTGTCTTACAGTTTTTCCAAAATTGCGCGTTTGTGATAGGTGGACATTAAGACGAGGGAAATAGTTACGTAAATAGTAGTTTTATCGCTGCAAAACTGAAAAAAACACTTGTTTTCTGAAATCTGATAAAGTACCTACTTAATGAGTGGAATAGTCTTAAAAA